TGTTACATTATTGAATTATACTGTACGCCTAAGTTTGTTCCCTTGATGTTATATTCTCACATGATTAAAAGTCTTTGCATCCGTACTATTTTTACAAAATTCTATAATTCTTAGAAAATAAAAAAAAGTACAGAACAACATACATGTAGACACGTATAGTCTAATAAATACCACTTGATAGATTGCATTTTCCCCCTGGAATTTTATCTAAGTAAAAGGCCACATTTGTCAGATAATGTATGTACCAATAAATTTAGTATTTTAACCCACCCAGAGTTGACTCAGAAGAAAGGCCTGGCAATCTGATTCTGAAAGGTCACAACCTTGAAAACATATGAAGTATGGTTCTATTCTGCAACACATGGAATTGCCATGAGTTGAAATCATATACATATATATATATATATATATATATATATATGTAAATGTGTTTTGGGTTTATCACCTTTCCTCCTTCCTTCATCCCATAAAGATCTCATTTTGCCTCTGTAAAATTAGCTGCCGTATAACCAGAAACATATCGAAGTGCAGAACTTCCCAGTAGTTCATTCTAATTAACTAAGTGGTCAGTCATGAACCTATGTACCTGTGGCCTGATCAATTGCAGGGACACTTACTGCCACCTCTTCCTGGGATTTAGGGTAGTATCAACAAGCAGCAGTGCAGTTATTAGCTGCTAAAATGCCTCTCTGCCCCTGGTTGCCTTGAACTTGACTGCATTTGCCGCGTGTTGATTTAGAGCAGTGGTTCTTAACCAGAGGTGATTTTGACCCAGGAGACATTTGGCAGTGTCGCGTAAAACTAGTGTCATTTTTTGGTTGTTACAACAGTTGGGAGGTGGTGGTAGGGCTACTGGAACCTAGTGGTTAGAGACCAGAGATGTCACTAAATATACTACAATGCACAGAACAGCTCCCCACTACAAAAAATTGGGCCCCAGATGTCAATTCTACCAAAGTTGAGAAAGCCTGACTTGGGGATCTGCTATGCCTTGCCCTGGGCAGGTGCTGGGACATTAGGTCTAGACGTGTTATGGATTGAATTGTGTCTCAAAAAAATATGTGTTATAAATCCTAACCCCTATACCTGTGGCTGGAGCCCTGGTGGTGCAGTGGTTAAGAGTTTTGCTGCTAACTGAAAGGTTGGCAGTTCGAAATGACCAACCTCTACTTGGAAACTCTACGGAGCAGTTCTCCTCTGTCCTATAGGGTCACTATGAGTTGAAATCGACTTGATGGCAACAAGTGTTTTTTTTTTTTTTTTTTGATACCTGTGGTTATACTGTAATCCACTTGGGAATGGGTTTTCTATGTTATGTTAATGAGCCAGTATTCATATAGGGTGTGTCTTTAGTCATTCTTTCTTGAAATATAAAAGCAGATTAAGCAAGCAGCAAAAGAACAGAGATTGAAAAAAAAAAAGAGCAGAGATTGGGGAAGATAGATTCCAAGCTACGTGAAGATCATCAGGAAGCAGAAGCTGAAAAGCAACAAGCAGCTATCTCCAGAGCCAACACAGAGAGAAAGCCTTTGCCCTAGAGCTGGCACTCTAAATTTGGGCTTCTAGCCTCCTAACTGTGAGAGAATAAACTTCTGTTTGTTAAAGCCACCCTTTTGTGGTATTTGTGTTATAGCAGCATTAGGTAACTAAGACACGTGTGCAGTTGGGGTATATGGGCATCTATCCTGAACATGGCTCTAGGAACCTAAGAGGCTTGTATATAAAAACCTGGCCTCTAAAGGTGAAAAATAAGAAATAATGAAAAGACAAAACAATGAAATCCACAGGAGTTCCCTTACCACACCAACCTTACCTCTATGGATGTTTTGTTCCTCTGGGTATCTGTGGTGGAAAAAGCAAGGGAAACTGTTGACAGAGTGTAGAAAGCACCTCTGTCTAAAAGACAGGATGCCAAGGAGGGCCCAGGGTCTGAAGTGCCACTGTCTTCGGGCTCGTCCTCTGACTTAAGTCCTGCATTTCGGGCACTGTGAGTACTTTATACCCCTTCCCATCCTGTTACAAAATGTTGTCTGGCAAGATTTGAGTTTAATTTTCAGAGTTGCCAGTTGAACCAAGATTATTGGAAGGAGGCATTCAGCATATTGATTTTTTTATAAGTTAGGTAAAGGAACATTTATTTTTCACAGAGGAAATGGCTGCATTAACTACTGAATGGCTTCCTTCTCCTTTGGGAAGTTTGCTATAATTAGATACAACTAATTATTGCTTGAGCCTAGTAACATTACTGAAGTTGGATGGAGAATGTGTCCTGCTGTTATTGTAGGAAGCTGTCTTGGAATTTCTTGTGACCAGGTCAAGTCACAGTGGTTCACAGAAGCTGAGATACAAGGACACAGTATAGTATACCCAGTAAGAGCCTGACACAGCAGCCACACTGCCTAGACTCCACAAAGCTCTGCCAGTGGCAAATTGTGTGGATTCACAGCATGGTAGTACTTGGCTCCTGTGCACCTCAGTTTCCTCATCTTTAAAATGGGCATGATAATAAACCTCATAGGACTATTGTGAGTCATAAATGTATTACTGTGTGAAACACTTAGAACAGCACCACTGAATATTAGCCAATAGCTTATTTATTTATTTATTTTATGGTTGATTATTTTTAACTCTCAGATGTTAGTGACTTAAAAAGATAAATTAAGTTTCAAAAGAAAAGCTAACCATAATGCTGTCTATTTGGTTTCTACCACCTAGGTTATAAACGAAAGGTGTTAGTGCGAGTGTTGGTTATCAGTGCTATTAAGAATTAAACACAGTTGCTGAAAGAAAACAAATTTGATTATAGAATAAAGTAGCTTGAAGATACTATTCAAACAAAACTGGTCCTTGTGTCATTTTGTTTCAGGTAGATAAAAAAACAGAGAGGCTTTCTAGTTTCTCAAAGTGGTGTTCACAAGCTTTTAGAAAGAACAGCTGTTCTTTAATTTACACTTTAATTCAGTAGAACTTTATTAGACTGAAATTAACCAAATCCCAGAAAGATCTGAAAACATAAATGATTATGAGATGTTATGGATTCTAAATCAGGCATTTTTGAAGACAAAAATGAAGGCTAATAGTTTACATTTAGTATTTAACTCTGGTATTTCACTGAATTAAGATGGCAAGTTTGAATCAAATAATCAGATTTGTTTCTGAGATAATAATACAATGAGTTAGTTAAAAGAGCTAACCTGTAATAGGTTTATTAAATTAATCCATAAGGTTTCATTTCTTTGAAACAACCTGTTATCAAAATCTTTATACCTCCCTTCATTTACAATAAAATTAAATGAAGGAACTCTTCCCTTAAAAGTTAAACGTGGGTTTTTTCTATTTTGATAGAGATTAAAAACCCCATGTCAGTGGATCATCTATGATCAGACTCCTTAATCCTGTTTTAATTACAGGTCCTTTGCTACTTTTGATTTTATAGTTGTTATTTTGTGACTGACATTCAAACATTCACAGTAATTTTTTAAATGTGTAATTTTACAGAAGAGTCTCCTAAAGTGACCTTAAGGTGAGAGCCCCTAGATGAAATCAGAGAGAGGAAGGAACTCCTGGCCTGGAATGAGTTGATGGTTTCCAGGGATATCTCAATTTCAAATGTTTCAGCTGCACACTGTGGCAGAATCACATATTTCTGCCAGCTTGAGAGGGATACAGAAGGGACGCCTACAGAGATGGTCATGTGGACAGTACTTTTCTATTCCCACTGCTGGGTATTTGAAAACACTTGGGGCCAAATATGATCAACCACATGCTTCTCTCTGAAGACCTACACCCTAAGCGTGCGCTTTGCTACCATACTCAGCTTTTTTGTTTGTTGTTTTTTTAAGGAATAGCAGCTATGTTTATGGCCAGGTGTCATTTGTCAAACAGGACATGAATATTTCTTGTACATAACCATTTTGTTTAGGTTCAAAAAACTGAATGGCAGTGAGTTATACTCTCCAAAGATGCAGGCTTAAAGCATGAGTTTTGACAAATTGAAATTTAATTCAATGATATCTATTACAAGTTTAAAAGAAAATTGTATTTTTTAAGTACTCAAGGCCCTTTTGTCAGTCTTTACCAATAGCATTGCTTCTGTGGTAAATATTATTAAAATTATAGAAGCCAAATATTTCCCTGAATTTAAAAATGTTTCTTCACTAAGCTCTGTTTATTCATCTATAAAATGAAGGTGTAGAAACTATATTATCACTAAGGTCTTGTCTTAGTTTCCCAGGGCTGCCATAACAAAAATACCACAAAGTGGGTGGCTTTGAAGAACAGAAATTCATTTTCTCACAGTTCTGGATGCTAGAAGTCTAAATTCAGGGCTTTGGCAGAGCTATTCCTTCTCTCTCTTTCTCTCCCCCTCTCTCTCACTTCTAGTGGTTACTGGCACTCCTCAGCATTCCTTTGCTGCTTATAGATGCATCTGCCTCCCTTGTCACATGACATCTATCTTTCCCCTGTGCGTCATTCCCTTTTTATAAGACACCACTCATTTGACCAGAAAGATAACAAAAGAAAAACCCTGTTTCCCCAGACAAGGTCATGTTCACAGGTACAGGGGTTAGGACTTCAGCATATCTTTTTGGAGGACAGAATTCAATCCATAGCAGGTCTCTTCTTGTACTTAAGATTCTTCAAGTCTAATGTCCAACTGTTTTAATTATTCAGAATATTCTGGTGATTTGCCAGCTGCATTCGGGATGTGTCAAATTGTGTGACTCTGCCTTGTCAAATGATCTTCTCTGTTGACCACAAGCAAATAATAGTTGACCACAGGCAAATATTCCCTCAGAGCTCTTCCCCATTCCATAGATGTGCTGGTGGCCCTTTGCAGAGAAAGAAGACCAGCCTTTGCCTGCCAGGAACAGGATAGTAGCTATTAGAGGTCCAACCAACCTGTCTGGCTGATTCGATCTATGTTTGACAATCTGAGAATGTGAGACATTAATCTGCATTTTGTCCTTCACTTTTTTCTTATGCATTTTCGTCAACAGAAAGGAGAACCTGACTGCTATGCACTCTCCCTGGAGACAACAGAGCAGCTCACCTTCGAGATACCCCTGAATGATTCTGGTTCTGCCGGACTTGGGGTGAGCTTGAAAGGAAACAAATCCCGAGAAACTGGAACAGACTTGGGGATTTTTATCAAATCTGTCATCCATGGAGGTGCTGCTTTTAAGGTAGGTAGGAACGATCTTTGCAGATATTTAGAGAAGTGGCTTTTGGACTTGGGGACTAGATGGAGAATGTATCTGAAGGCTTGGACCACTGAGACCTTTCTGCCAAATGCAGGAAATGCCTGTGTGAACAGATCTGGGCAACAATTGGCTATTTTCTTACTGTAAGAGGGTATTTTTATCTTCTAGAGGTAGTTCTGAAAACCTGTCATGATCAACATTTCTTTTTTTACATTCCTTCTATTAGAATTTCTCTGAGTTTGTCACTTGACAGAGTTGAATCCTAAAATACACATTCAGAAAAATAAAACTAAAAACAAGTAAACAGAAAGTCAGTAAATAAGAAAATTGTGCATGCAAGGATGAAAGCTCAGTGGAGAGTGATTGTAGTATAAATTAAAGGCCATTTATCACATTTTTTACACTTGAAGATAATCCTGGTACCAGGAATGCATATTTGCCTTTGAATACTTGGAGAAGCTTATACATTTCCAGAAAAAAAGAAAGAAAATGATTCTGCCCGTTCACACTGGGATGTGCAATGTGATCATTGCTATTAACATAAAACCCCCAGGCTTTGTTGGAACTGAATTGCCTGTGTTCAAACCAGCTCCACCACTTGCTCTGTGTTTGCAAACTTGGACAAGGAACTTGACCTGCTGTGCTCCATTTCCTTATCTGTAAAATGGGTAGGATAAATAGCACCTAATTCATAAGATTCTAAGGAGCAAATTAATACATGTAAAGTGATTCAAGCACTAATTAGCATAATGCCTGTGATAAGATTCCAGTAAATGTTAGCTATTTTAAAATAATCTTGATATCAATAACCTGCGTGGGTCCTCTTCCAAGCAAAAGCCAAGAAGCCCATGTAGATTTTATAGGAGCAACTCTGCTTCTAGAATTCTGGCTTTGTAGAAGCATTTGTCTTCTTGCACTTGCCATTCCATTTTTGTTTCAGACCTAGATATTGAGGTAATGTCCTTTTCCTTGGGCGTGTTGTGGATCGACAACTCTTTAATTTCACTCTTTGTATCAGGTAGTTTTTGTTGTATAATACATAATCACACAATTTCAGTAACATACATCAATAAGCCTTTATCTCCCTCATGCCTCTGCAGGACAGCTCGTAAGCCTCTGATTCAGGCTGGGGTGGCTTTTTATTACACTGTAGGTCTACAGATCTCAGTCTGCCCCATGTATTTCACCTACTCCTTAGAGCAACAGACCAGCTGAGCATGTTCTTCTCATGCCATAAGTGAAGTATCAGAGAGCCATTAGATATGGGTAAAGCCTTTTAAGACCTGGACTTGGAACACTGTCACTCTCCACACGCACCATTGGCCAAAGCAAGTCACATGGCTGAATGAAACCTCAAAGAGTGGAGAAATGTACTTTACCCACAATGAGGCTGTGTCAAGGGTGTGGGTACAGAGAAAGATGAAGAAATATTACTAATCATTCAATCAGTCGCACTTCTCATCTTTTCCCAGTCTGGTTCTGAAATACAAAACCAGGATCAGAGAGAAATAATACTAATAGTAATAACAACACCGCAACCAACAACAATGAAAATTTATTGAATGCTTAGTATATACCAGATGCCACAATAAGTATTTTACGTGAGTTCTCTTACTTTATTCTTCACATTCACATTGTAATAGTATTATTGTCATATTATCTTATCAAATTATATTTATCAGATTGTAGTGGTTAGTGACTCCTGTAGCCAAATAGCTAGGGATTGATTAAACCATGATTTAAATCCAGGCAGTCTGACTCCAGAGCCAATACTGTACTCAACTGCAATGAAGACCTTTTTGTATTATCCATTCACATTCCTCTAGTACAAGGACTGTCACCCTGGAGTTGTTTTGTATCATGCTTTTCATCGTTAGCCACGCCACCTAAATATGTATGTTTGCAGATGGGTCCTTGGTCATATTTGTGAATTCCAGCTTGATGTTAGTCCTCTTCTTCCTATTGACATCTCTATTTGCAGAATTTATTCCAAGTAAAATTAAAACTGAGATGACTTTTTGGAAATTAAAAGCAGACATCTTAGCTTTTTTATGGGCAATAACTTAAACAGATATCTGGTGAGCAGGTTTAATACGTATATATATGTTTGTGTAAGTGAGCCTGTCCTTACCTAAGCAGTTTCTAACAGTCCCGTTTCTTGCAGATAGATTTCACTTTCCTTTTATGTAAATTTCTTTCCTGACACTGGTGTGCTGAGTCAGATGATCACACCATTAAAAAACACTGGACAGCATATTTATAGCTAATCTTAATCAGTAAGAGGCATCAATCATGGATTTAGCCTTGTTGTGAATGTTTAGTATCCATTTGTCTTGTTTACCTTCTGCAGTGTAAAAGGGTAAAGGCCTGAGCTTTGCTCACGAAGAAATCTGATCACCTGGGGCAGGAAGGGGGAGGGGAGTATTTTTTCTATTCTTTCTGCTCTTCCAATAAGCCACGGTTGCTCCTTAGAAAATTGCCACCTGTTCTATGATTCAGGATTATGTTTTACAAAAATTGTTTTGAGACTTTGTTCCTGTCCCTGTTCAGAAGCTACAAATGTAACAGACTGGAGTGTCCCTGGGGCAAAGAAGAGATAAGCATTGAGAACATCCACCTTAGCATCTGGCCTTTCATTTTTACCGATATCAACATAGTAATCTTTCTACTGGAGCTCAAACTTTTTCTCCTGGCCCTTCATACCACTAATTGGTTCTCAAGCTGTTTTTCCCTTTAAGGAAGGTGGATTTTTGAAAATTAAACTACTTTGCAAAGTTTGACCAAGTTCTTCCTGTGGATTCCGTGTGTTATATTCTCCTGGGGGCTTCTATTGGTGTAAACAAAAAATAGGCTACTTCTTACCAGATGTAAGACCCCTGAATGACTGTGACTATAACTGAGAGCTTCTTATTGTTGTTTTTTCCCCCTTACCTCTCAGGCCACTGTTTTATATCGTTTCATCTCTTATTTGAGTTATTTCTAATAGAGATGTAAATCTCTATTTGAAAATAAGAGCATCCAGCTACTCCAGAATTCACACTTGGAAGTGAGTCCCTGATTCAGTCTAACAACAAACTGAACAATATTTTTACCCAATTCATTATTATCCAATGCTTGATCTCATCTTAATATTTAAATAAATCACCTCATATGCATATGGAACCTGGGTAATGAAAAAAAGAAGATAGAAGAAGAATTGATGCGTTTGAATTGTGGTGTTGGCAAAGAATATAGAATATACCATGGACTGCCAGAACAAACAAATCACTCTTAGAAGAAACAAAACCAGAATGCTCCTTAGAAGTGAAGATGGCGAAACTTTGTCTTGCTTACTTTGGATTGAACATGTCATCAGGAAAGGCTAATCCCTAGAAAAGGACAGCATCATATTTGGTAAAGTAGAAGATAAGCAAAAACAAAGGAAACCTTCAATGAGATGGAATGACACAATAGCCTCAACAATGAACTCAGACATACCAACAGTCATGAAGATGGTGCAGGTAAAGGCAGCATTTTGTTCTTATTATACATAAGGTCACTGTGAGTCAGAGCTGACTCAATAGCAACTGACAACAGCAATATTTATCAAGTCTTCATGTTAAGCTGTAAAGCCCAGAACCTCTTTCCTTCTTATGTCAGGCCACAACACCTGTCCTTCTGGCTGCTTTTGGATAGGGAGCTGTGGGGTAGGCCCCTCTGAAGCATCTTTTAGCTGTGTACTCAATGGGCAAAATGGCCATTGGCAACACTGAATAGCAGCCAAATTACTACTTCTCGGAATGTTGTTGTTAGGTGCTGTCGAGTTGGTTCCGACTCATAGCGACCCTGTGTACAACAGAATGAAACACTGCCTGGTTCTGTGCCATCCTCACAATTGTTGCTATGCTTGAGCGTTCCAACTTCTCAGAATATTGATATGGATATGCTGAAATAATGACATGCATTAGATGTCTATAGTTTCATCTTTGTTTTTGCCATTCTTCCTAGGCATTTGCCCACTGAGTATGGTGTAATTGCTTCTAGAACCAAAATATGCTACATAGAAGTATATGAACTGAGAACTATGATTGGAATGAAATTACAGTGTTTGTGGGAATGATTGGCTAAAATTTCCCTTTTGTGGCTAGAATTTAAAATAAACGTTTTTTTGTTGCTGTTACATAGAAAGATACATTGTCTTCCTTGCAGTTAGAAAAAAAATAACTTAAGAAAAACTCTCCCCTTTCCCCAAATTCACATAAAAATTACTTTGAGAGGCAGAAATACAAATCTTGATGATCAGCTTGAAGACCTTAGATATTTTCATCCTCATTTAGTAAACATTTCAAATTCTGACATTGGCGGCTTTTTCTTGCTTTCCTTTTGATGTACTATGTGAATTGAATATCTTAAAGAAAAAATGCATTTTACATCTGTTGATTTTACTCACTTAAACTGTTTATTTTTCTTCCTTTAAAAAAGAATAACTTTGGAAAAAAATATATAGCTGGAATAGTGATTGTTTAAAAAATTAGTTAGGATATTAACACACTATTAAAAAAATAAAAATAACAATAAAAACCCATTGCTGTCGAGTCGACTCCAACTCATAGCGACCCTATAGGACAGGGCAGAACTGCCCCATAGGGTTTCCAAGGAGCACCTAGTGGATTCGAACTGCTGACCTTTTGTTAGCAGCCAAAGTCTTAACCACTACGCCACCAGGGTTTCCAATACACTATAGGTAAGATTAAAATCCCCATGGAGTACGTTGTACTTCTTATAAATAACATTCTTTATTTGAATACACTGACTTTGGGAGTAGAATGTGTACTATAGAAACTTTGAAAGGTAAAGTAAAAATTAAAATTTAAAAGCAATTTTTGCTAAAGAAAAAAATGTCATGTATCAGGTAAGTTATTTAAGAGATCTTAAATAGAGAGAATGTATTTTAAAATGCCTGTTATTCTCTAGAAAATTAATTAGCCAGGTTTGTGCTTAAT